AACCACCCATAAATGCAAAGAAACAATCACCTAACCTATCAGCTATCCTCACCTCTAGCAAATATCTAAACAATACAAACCAATCAGGAAATTACAAATGTAACAAACCTCGTTTCTTAGTTTGCAAACACTTAATAATAGATAATGTATTTTCTGTACCCAACACCAATATCAAGATACACCCACCTCGCCTCACCCGTGATAGCCATAATATAATCTACTATTTATTCTGCACAATATGTCTCAAAAGTGGATATATTGGTGAATCTAGAAATAATTTGAAAGTTTTCTTCAACAATCATAAACAAACCATACGTCAAAATAATCCTTATTCCCCCATAGCTGAACACTTTAATCAATCAGGGCACTCATTAGAAAACTGTAAATGTTTATTGATAGATTCCGATTTCAGTTCCACATACACACGCAGAAAAAAAGAAAAATACTGGATTTTAAAATTAAATACATATAAACTAGTGTTAACTAAAGACTTGGGTATTTTAAATCTTTATAAATATTTCAATAGTTAAACATTTTTTTACATATAGTTATTTTTTTTTTTTAACAGCATCTAAAATATTATTACAATTAGATTTACGTTAAAAATATTCGAACACAGTGGCGTTCCATATCACGTGACGTCCGCATCTCTCGACGGACGCTACTTGTAAACAAACCTCTAAAAACAGTTATTTCTTAAGAAAGATCGAGGTCGATCTGAAATATCAATTATAAATAAATACTTTCATAAAAAAAACATTATTTTTTTGAATTTGCAACTTTTTACTTGTTTTATATATATATATATATATATATATGTGTGTGTGTGTGTGTGTGTGTGTATTGCTGTAAAGACATAATTAAAACAACTACAAAAAATACAATAAATTTAAATTTATTGTATTTTACCCTTTGTAATCCAGATTAAAAAAAAAAAAAAAAACTTGAATAGCAGGAGTACTATTTTTCCATTTTCAATTCACTTGGGACTATATATTTTATTCGTAAATTATTTTACCAATAAATCTATTTTAATCGAGTTCCAATGAATTTCTATCCTCACCTCTCTTTTTTCTTTTTTTATTATTTACTATGTGAATTGTTCATTTCTTTGTTCTCGTCAAGAGTCACACTAACGTTTTCCTTCTGATGAAGTGTTGGCTGAAAGGATTCCTTAAGGTAAAAATGCCTCCGTGTATTTTCAAAACTGTATTTACGTTCTGTGGTATCAAGTCCTTGTTCATATAAATATATACAGTAATACTTTGAGATACGAGCGTACCGACATACGAATTGCTTGAGGGTACAACTTCTGAACTATGAGTTTAGTAGAGATGGAATGTTTAAGTTTTTTCTTTTCTCTAGCTGATATAAAAGCCGATTTTTTTTTTTGCCTTAAGATACGAACAGTATTTTGAGATACGAGCGAGTTTCAGTTAACCATCCGCAGTAGACGTGTTCACCTCTCGAAATGTACTTCAATTTTCATGTTGGGAGTCAGCATCATGATTTGCCAACTTTGGCACGATATTACTTTGCATTCTGAGAAGATATCCAGGAACTTATTTAATGGCTGCTCGTTGTTCTGAATCAGTGTGATGTTAAATTAAAACTTGTGTTGTAAGAAACAGTTTCAGTGTTGTCATAAATTTTCTTTTATTACAAATATATATAAATTAGCAAGACATAACAGATAACTGACATCCATCAAGCATGGCACGTGGAACTAGAACAGTCTACCCCAGTGATCGAAATAAAGGGTTCAGTTCGAAATTCCAACCACCTGAAGAAGGCCGGAGGACAATAGTCCGAATAATGTAAATACTGTACATAATACCCCATCTCAGAAATATAGACAGACTCTGAAGGATTGGTACGGACCCGACATACCAAAAATATGGAGACAAATTGAGAAATCCTACCAGAAACTGGCACGAATATCGAACCATCTGACATTCCTACACCGATGTAGAGACCTACAACTCATCCCTTCAGGCTTGGCACCAAGACTTCCCATCAATTCAAGGAGAGCACGTCGGGTCGCAGAGAAAGCGGGACACGCCCTTGTCCGAGAGAGAATCCAGTACAATCGTTGGATAAAACATCGACTACATGCTCATATCTTCCAGACGCTCGAGGATTTCTTCAACAGAATTACTAATGAAGAAGACCAGAGAAGGATCCAAAATGACTTGGATAAATCCTTCAGACATGAATTTGATGTAGTCAAGGCTCGCCAAGTGCAAAAATTAAATAGATTGAAAGATCAGAAGGTGACGCACAAGGTCCATCACACACCAGTGAAAGCAGTAGTCAACATCAGCCAATATCAGCTGAGTGCCTCTGAGGAGTCAGTATTGAATAAGGGTCTCAACTTCGCCACAAGCATCAGGCGGGTGCCATACTTGGACATCATTGCCCGAGTCGAGGAGGTGGCCTTGAACTTCCCTCAGGCTTAGGCGGATGAACTAAGATGGAAAGTAAGACAGGCCTTGGAGAGAGCCAAGCTGCCCAGGTCTAACATAACAAAACTGGAGAGACTGGCGATTGGATCCCTTACAGAGGAACGAAAACATCATCATACTACCGGCTGACAAAGGTAATGCGACTGTAGTGATGGACAAATCAGATTATACAAGAAAACTGGAAGACCTCATTAGCAATGGTAGCTACAGCAAAGTGAAAAAGGATCCTACTATGAAAACGGAACGCAAACTGTTACAGATCCTAATCAAGAACAAGGATCACCCAAGACGTATAGGCAGTTATCGCAGCGTTACACCAAGCTACCTCACATATACGGTCTCCCTAAGATTCACAAAGATGGTATTCCGCTCAGGCCGATTGTTAGTTGCCAAGGCTCTGTGTGCCACCCTCTGAGTCGCTTCCTTGTAGATATAATTGACCCATTGATTGGAAAGTCTCCTTCATATGTCCGAAACTCCGCCCACTTCGTGGAAATAATCAAAGATGCTCACATCCTATCCAACCAGATGGTGAGCTTGGACGTGGTGAGTTTGTTCACCAAGGTACCCACGGAGGAGGCACTCTCAGTAGTCAGAGACAGATTGGCCTCTGACTCTTCCCTAGAAGAACGGACCAGTATTCCAATAGATAATCTGATGGAGATGTTGACTTTCTGAACACAAACGACACACTTCGGAATGGGATCACACATATATCGACAGGATGAGGGCTTAGCAATGGGCTCGCCATTATCACCAGCAATAGCGAATATATACATGGAATATTTGAAGAAATGGCATTAGAATCTATATCTCTAAAGCCAACTATATGGTTAAGGTACGTAGATGACACCTTCATACTCTGGCCACACCAGGAAGATGTCCAGGTTCTACTGGACCATGTGAACTCAATAAGACCTTCGATACAGTTCACAATGGAGAAAGAGAGTAACAACACGCTCCCATTCCTGGATGTACTAATATCTCGAACAGAGCATGGGTTCAAGACATTAGATAAGGAATTGGTCAGTATAAGTAGTACCCTACAACGTAACAACTACAACAGCAGCCCCCAAAAACTGGGATAGGCGGGTACAAGAGGAGGAGGAGGACAACAACACTCAGAAAACAGTCTGCCTGCCTTATGTGAAGGGGTTATCAGAGAAAATACAAAGGGTCTGCAGTCCATATAACATCAGGACAACCTTCAAAAGCGTGACAACACTTCGCAGATATCTCTCTCGAGTGGGACCCCCCATAGAGGAGAACATGACTAAAGACTGTGTGTACGCTATCCCGTGCAGCTGCGGAAAGGAATATAAAGGAGAGACAGGCCGCCCCCTCAAGGTAAGGCTTCAAAAACACCAGAAAGCTGTAACGCGAGGGGAAGTAGAAAAATCAGGCGTGGCTGACCACATATGGAGAGAGAACGGAGATCACTGTCCCCTGTGGGATCATGTTGAGATCATAGACAGCGAACACCATTGGAAAATTCGAAAACTTAAGGAATCAGCACATATGCTAGGCCACAAAAATCTCCTGAGCCGACCAAGCCTAGAAATAAATACAATATGGGAACCAGTAATAAGGAGTGCCAGAGAAAAGCAATGATAACAAAGTTGCAATATGGGCTCTGGTAAAAACATGCAATGATAACAGCAAAAATTGCAATATGAGCACTGGTAAAAAATGAGTGCTGAAAACATTAGGTTTATAATACCCAGAATTTCATACCCAGATGTCCTCAAGGACACATGGCACAGTGGATAAAGGCGTTGGTTAGATCCAGTGACAGACCCAAAGACTGTGATTGGAGAACTTTCAGAGGGAAAATTAACAGGTGATAACTGATAACTGACATCCATCAAACATGGCACATGGAACTAGAATAGTCTACCCCAGTGAGCGAAATAAAGGGTTCAGTTCGAAATTCCAACCACCTGAAGAAGGCTGGAGCGTACAACGGCCGAAACGTTGTGACAAATATGGCGACAAAGATGAGGACAATAGTCCGACTAATGTAAATACTGTAAATATATATATATATATATATATATATATATATATATATATATATATATATATATATATATTCTATTTTAACTGGATTGCACAGGGAAGAGATTGTGGTCACAAAGACCTGCTTGTTATCGACTGGATTTTGTCAAATTTTTTTTGATAAAATGAATTTTTTTCCTCTATATTCCAGTTTTCAATGGCGGATCAATGTGATAAATTATATTCGGATATGATACCGTAATTGTTAATTAAAATTAATATTATTTGTCTTCACTGATTTAGTCATTCATTTTGGGTTTACAGGTTATTTAAAGCCAGAATTTATTTCGGAAATAATAATGATTTAGTGATAAGTGTCTTACTAATTAACCCATGCATGGGGAAAAGAGGTGGATTCTTATCTTTCTTAAAGTTTTTTGTGCATAAGTAAATATGACGAACCCAACTGGAAATGGAACTCAGCTTTCCGATTAACAATTCCGAGCCATTATCCATTACACCACCCTCATATCCAAGCTTACAGCACCTGGTATTCTTCAGCGGTAACCCATCTAGGTACTGACTAGGTTTAACGGTGCTTAACTTCGGTGATCTTACGAGAAACGGTGTTTCAAAGTGATATAGCCGTAAGTCGAGGTTAAATTTAAACAATTTCTACTCAATGATGTTTTCTTTCACGTTTTCATTTTCTTCATAGCTTTCAAATATTAATCACAACATATTTTCATAGATTTATTCATTGTTTAACTTGTTTTAATTTTTACGGCTTATCAACTTTTTGGATTGCTAAAATATTTTTTTGCGGCTGAATATTGATTTCACAGTTTTTGTAAAGGTAATGACTTTCGTGCACAAGTCTTACTATTTAACCCATGTATGGAGGAGAAGAGATGGATTAATACATTTCCAAATGTTATTTGAGTGTAAGTGAATGTAAGTCGCACATTTCTTTATACGGTAGACTGAATAATAACACTGCAGTTTTTATTTCTTTTTCGGGTTAGATAACATTGTAGTAGTTTACCATTTCTTTTCAAACTGAATAATAATAACACTGCAGTTTTTTCTTTTTCGCGGTAGACTGGTAGATAACATTGTAGTAGTTTACCATTTCTTTTCAGTAGACTGAATAATAACACTGCAGTAGCTTGCCATTTCTTTTTCGCTGGTAGATAACTTGAATAATAACACTGCAGTAGCTTGCCATTTTTAGACTGGTAGATAACATTGTAGTAGTTTACCATTTTTTTTCGGTAGACTGAATAATAACACTGCAGTAGCTTGCCATTTCTTTTTTTCGCGGTAGACTGGTAGATAACATTGTAGGTTTACCATTTCTTTTTCGGTAGACTGAATAATAACACTGCAGTATTTCTTTTTTTCGCGGTAGACTGGTAGATAACATTGTAGTAGTTTACCATTTTTTTCGGTAACTGAATAATAACACTGCAGTAGCTTGCCATTTCTTTTTCGCGGTAGACTGGTAGATAACATTGTAGTAGTTTACCATTTCTTTTTCGGTAGACTGAATAATAACACTGCAGTAGCTTGCCATTTCTTTTTCGCGGTAGACTGGTAGATAACATTGTAGTAGTTTACCATTTCTTTTTCGGTAGACTGAATAATAACACTGCAGTAGCTTGCCATTTCTTTTTCGCGGTAGACTGGTAGATAACATTGTAGTAGTTTACATTTCTTTTTCAGTAGAATAATAACACCGCAGTAATTTCTTTTAACATTGTAGTAGTTTACCATTTCTTTTCGGTAGACTGAATAATAACACTGCAGTAGCTTGCCATTTCTTTTCGCGGCAGTAGACTGGTAGATAACATTGTAGTAGTTTACCATTTCTTTTCAGTAGACTGAATAATAACACTTCATTTTTTTTTCGCGGTAGACTGGTAGATAACATTGTAGTAGTTTACCATTTCTTTTTCGGTAGACTGAATAATAACACTGCAGTAGCTTTGCCATTTCTTTTTTCGCGGTAGACTGGTAGATAACATTGTATTAGTTTACCATTTTTTTTTTCGGTAGGCTGAATAATAACACTGCAGTAGCTTGCCATTTCTTTTTCGCGGTAGACTGGTAGATAACATTGTAGTAGTTTACCATTTCTTTTCAGTAGACTGCAGTAGCTTGCCATTTTCTTTTTCGCGGTAGACTGGTAGATAACACTGTAATACCATTTCAGAAATTTGCAGTTTTCTTTTTGGCGGTAGACTGGTAGATAACAAGTAGTTTTACAACAGAACCTGCATTAGATGACTTTTCTTCTTGCAGTAGACTGCTTGCCAACCACAGCCAGTAGACCCATAGCTAGGGAAAGGAGTGTTAGATACATACCATTCGGAAATTTATTTTCGCGTAAGTCAAGGCAACGAACCCGACTGGAATTCTCCAGTCCAAATTTCGAAACAATATTTATTACACCCCAACTCACATACTGGCACTTAAATAACGATTTGCTAAATCAAATGTTTTCTCGTGATTAATGACATCTTTGCTGATGTAAATTCTTGTTATTCCTATGAAGCGTTTCTTTGCCCATGTAAATATATCTTTCTGGGCGACTGATTGATTTTTCCATTGCTGCTCTCGAATTTCTATTAGCAGGTTCTCTTTTGATCGTTTCTGCTTTTGCCATAGGAGGCCGCGAAAAAAATGATGCTCTGCCTTGAATTATGATCCTTTCCACGGCTTGATATGATTAATGAGTGGCATGAAATATTTATAAAATGAAATTTAATCCATCAATGAAATAGTTTATACAATTGACATGTGGAAGCCTAATACGAATGGTTGCTAGCAACACGGTAACAACGTAATAGACTACAAGTTGATAATGTTTCAAATTATCTGATATTGCACAATAACGGTTATACTTCAAATTAATTCTGATTGTGATCATTTACGTAATGATGGTTGTTAATGTTAAGTATCTTTTCACACAGTAAATCAATGAATTCGCATACAGTAGATTTGAACAGTAACTGATATTGTATCATCAGTTGCTGTCCATTGTTTGTAAGTAATTATATCTTCAGCATTAAACTCATTTTATTTCAATACATTAAACAAAGTTCCTGAGAGGTGATATTTTGCCGGACAAGTTTGGCGCAGTTGACCCATGCAATATCGAATGTTGATATCTTATATAAATAGCTCTCCCATCAAACATTCCCAGCTTTCGGCCATATCACACTGAAACACTGGTGACTTGGTAATACCAGGTGATGTAAATTTGGGTGTGCTGGTGAGTAATGGATGTTCGGAATTGGAACTCGGCTCTCCGATTTCCAATTCCAGTCGGGTTCGTTATATTTATTTACATACACATACCCTTAGGAAAGGTAGTGATCCACCTATCCCCTCCAGCTATAGGTTAATTAGCTGGAGTTGTATCAATAATTCATTATCATTTTCAAAATAATTCTTACAATTTAAAAATATGTTCAGTCTTCAAATTACCTGCCAAAGACGAGAAGCTGTCAAAAAATAACTAAATCAGTCAGTCTTGCAGATTCATACTATTTTCGCCATAGGATAAATGGCGTTGTGATGACGTTAGTGCAACTTTGCAATCAATTATATTCCTGACTCCAAAGAGAGCGCCCATTCCCAACGTTGTCAAAACATTATGGTAACCTTGTGAAGTGTTACCCATCTAGATACTGACAGGGACCACGTTGCTTAACTCCGGCGATCGTACGAGAAATCTTCTCAAATACAAGCCTCAGCATATTCAGTAAGACTTTACGCACATGCATTACGTACGAATGAAGACGTTTCTATATACACACTCCAATTTTCACGTATTTATATTTTTCTTGTTTAGTTTAAGCAATAAATTGCTAATTTTACAATATTGTTTGTAATGTCATTCCTGTCGCCTACTCGAGAAAACACCTCATGCAACCACAATCCTATCAGTACAATTTCTCTTTCACATAAATATATATCTCTCACTAAACTACTACAGATGCTTGGCAAATGGTTTTCACAACAACTTTGACCTCTTCAACTCTAGGGTTAACAGTTATTTTTCCTACAAAATCTCATGAACTGCAGTTTTTGCTTTTTCTTACGATCAAACAACACCAAAGAATAACCCTCTACCTTGAGTGGCTCTTGAATCAACATTGTTAGACAAAAAGGTAAATTAAAATAAACATCATCTCGAACAGATATTTGACAGACATTTTGTTAATATAAGAGGCACCGGCAAACTTACTTTTTCTCTAATTGAAGAATCGTGTTTGTCTAACAAGTGTTTAAAGTGAATGATTCAAAAGACAATTGTCTATGAAACGCTCAAGTAAATTTTCAGACGAAATAAAAACAGATAGCAGAGCCCTGAAACACGGAAGGGATATTAATCTTGTCACGCAAGTAGATAGGATAAGGTAGTTCGATTCTCACGAAAAGCCACACTACCGTGACTTCGTCAAAACCTCTAAGACTGGATTTGAACAACTACCGTAAAATGTTGGTTCGTCAAGTGGCCACAGAGGCATATTTGATAACGTAGTGAGTTCGACCAATCGCTTGGCTTAGTGGATACTGGTGTGGTTTGAAACTGGACTGAGGCGCGAAATTGGTATTCACCATGCAGTGTGTTCATTTCCATGTACACACTGTTTATATCTGTGAGCTATCTTTCTCCAATATTATGCACTCTTCCCCCCACCCGGAAAATACAACAAATTTCAACAATACAATCGTTGGCATCGAAACTTGCTTGTTAGCCATTGTCCTATAGTGTGTTTTTGATGCCTACGAACACTCATTTGCCACTTTTGTAATGCCAACGAATACTCGTTGTCACTTTCGCAATGCTCGTTGTAGTAGAGACTTTGTAATCGCAGATACAACTATAGTAACGCCGTTGAACAATACTGGTGTCAGACGCCTTCAAATAGCACTCGCACTAATAGTACTTGCTCGATAATACTCGCTCGAATAGTAATTCGTATAGTAATCCGAGTAGACAAATAGTATAATGAATAGAGTAGAGAATAGCGGTCCATATAGTAAGAGAGAGGAGAGTAGAAATATTGCGATCAATTCGACGCAAAGCTACTACCTAATGCGTTTCTCCTATGGTCACATGATCCACTTAATTCAATAATGGGTTTGCCTGGGTTTGCTCACTGACGATCTATGTTCAAACTCAAGTGTCGGCACAACACTTTATTTCTATATAAAAATGTGGCACCCTTACACGCTAAGCTTAGCTTCGTTTAACACAACGATACAATCAATCTCACAACTTTGTTTCCATAGTAACCGTTATCCAACGCTGAGACGAGTACTTCTCCCTCCATAGAGAGTATAGCGCCACAGCCCCAACACGTTAGTGCTACTGTGGTTTCTGTCACGATTGGGTTTTTGCAGGATGGAGTTTCCAGCACTAATCTAAATCGGTTTTGAATTCAGAGTTATTCTTCTACTGGTAAATCAGTTGCCAATCAAGGTCTGAGATTCTAATATGTTCTGTGGGGAGTGGGGAGGAGAAATGGATTCAGAGGTTTCCAAAGATTATATGTGAGAAAGTGAACGCAACAACCTCGGCCGAAATTTGAACCCCGACTTTACGCGCCGATAATTACTATGCTACGCGCACACCC